CTGCCTGATACTCTTTCTCAGTGATTTCTAGCCAGGCCTGTGGTGGGGTCCTGGGTATTGGGTGCTGGGGACCTGCAAGCAGTTATGGGCCAGGGAGCAATGTGGTCGTCCAGCCCTTTGCGTCTGGGTCCACCTGAGGAGGCCCTGGAGGCCCAGTCAGACTCAGAGATGTGAAACCGGCAGGCTTGCGTAAAAGCAAAGAAGCGGAGCCTCAGAGCAGGTGGAACTGTTCTGAGGTCTTGTTTGGAACCTGGCCAGCCCAGACCCCTGCACATACGCCTCCTGTCCCAAGCCCAAGCACGGCGCCATCCCCTCACTTCCAGTTCGTGGCACCAGCATCCACCCACTGGAATGCACCTGGGCCCCACAGAGCTGTGAGGAGAAGCCTGGGTGGGGCCTCTGCGAGTTGGCTCTGGCGACCGACCTTAAGACAGAGGGTGTCTCCAGCAGAGGGACTGCCTCTGGCACGACTGCTGGTGGCTGCCCCATGCAGATGGCAGACAGTTTGGCTGGATGTGTACGGCCACCACCTGGCCACAGGCTCCCTTTTACTCCCCTGTCGCCCTGTGGCTGCTGGTGTGCACTGGTCAAGTCCTGATTCCCAGAAGCCCAGCCGTCAGCCATGAGGCCGTGGAGTACGCACTTCCCACAGCACAAGTCACACCTCGTCAGACAGGGCGGCTTTGCACCTGAAGCTGGCTGGGCGAGGTTTGCCTCCCACGAGACTTGGCACCAGGCCGTCCACAGTGTGGGCAGTACGGACACAGGATGGCCCCCCAGCAGCGGGTGAAGCCAGAATTGGTCAAGGCCTGCCTCTCTTTCTTCCACAACACCTGCCCTTCTGCCTCTTTGGGGGTAGGTCTCTAACAAAACTTCTTTGGTGGTAAAATACACATAACATAAAATTTCTCATTTTAACCATTTTTAAGTGTGAAGTTAAGTGGTATTCAACACATTCATAATGTTCAACCGTCACCAGCCTCCATCTCCAGAACCTTTTCACCTCCCCAAACTGGAGCCCCGTCCCCCCTCCCTCTGCACCGACCACTCCACTCTGTCTCTGTGAACTGTAGGACTCTGGGGACCTCGTCCCTATACGTGGAGAACCATACAGTGCTGTCCTTTCACGATGGGAGCATGTCACTCAGGATAACGTCCTCAAGGCTCGTCCCTGCGTGGCATGGGTCAGAACGCCCTTCCTTTCTCAGGGCTGAGTATTATTCCTTGTGAGGCTGGACCACAGTTTGTTGACCCACCCATCTGTCCATAGACCCTTCTGCATCTTAGCTACCGTGAAGAACGCTGTATAAAAATCTCTCCAAGACCCTGACTTCAGTTCCTTCGGGTGCCCATCCAGGAGCGGAATTGCTGAATCACATGCTGGTTCTATTGTTAATTTTTTGAGAAACCACCGTGCTCTTGTCCGGAGTAGCTGCACCTCCTCACGTTCCAACCAACGATGCCCGAGTTCTGGCTTCTCCGCCTCCTTACCACACTTATTTTCTAGGTTTTTTATAGTGGCCATCTTACAGGTGTGAGATGTGTCTCTCTGGTTTTGATTTGCATTGAGCTAAAGATTAGTGATATTGAGCATCTTTTCATGTGTTTATTGGCCATTCGTGTACCTTCTCTGGAGCAATGTCTATTTAAAGTTCTCTGCCCAGTTTTGAATCAGGACTTTTTGTTGTTGAGTTTTAGCCATTTTCTATGTATTCTAGATATTAATCCCTAATCAGACACATGACTTGCAAATATCTTCTCCTAATCTGTGGGTTGCCTTTTTACCCTGTTGATATTATCTTTGGATGCACAAAGATTTTTAATTTTCATGAAGTCCAGTTTGTGGATTTCGTTTCCTTTGGTTGCCTGTATCTTTGGTGTCATATCCAGGAAATCATTGCCCAATTTCATGTCATGCACTTTTGCCCCATGCTTTAAGAGTTTTATAGTTTTAGGTCTTACTGTTAAGCCTTTGATCCGTTTCAAGTTAATTGTTGTATATGGTTTTACAACACTTTTAAGGAAACCCTGCTGTGGCGGGAGAAAGGGAGAACGAGAACCTGGTGGAAAGAGGCCCGGGGCCGGGAAACAAGGTGCGTGATGTCGGGCTTGGCGGCCGTGTGTGAGCTGGTCTGTGAGTGAACAGGAGCAGGCGGAGCTCCGGTACAGGAGCCAGACGAGAGAGGCGCTGCTGGCGGGAGCAGCCCGGGCGGCAGGCGAGCACTCCCGAGAACAGTGCGTGCCAGGCTGGCCTGGTGGCCCCCCTGAGGCCCCCGCCGCAGGGGAGGGGTTTGGGTTGGAGAAGGACCCGAGGCGGGGTCACCCTGTAGGGCCCTCTGAGGAAGCAGCTGGCACCTCTGTCTGTTCAAGTGCAGCTCTGCAGGGAGGCAAGAGACTGTCCCACATGATCCCAGGCTGAGCAACTTGCTCGGGCCAGACCGTGTCCCAGGAGTGAGGTTACTGCAGGGTGCCCCAAGGCACGCAGGCCTGGCATGTGGGAGCCTGCCTGCCCCAGGTGACAACAAACAGTGGGAGGGACCCGCTCTTCTGGAGGACCTGCGTCCCTGTGACTGACCAGCTGAGGGGGAACTGATCACATGACACCTGCCTGTACTTTGCATTTTAAAACAAAATCAAGAATACCAGAGAGGACAGTAGCATTTCCTTGAGAGTGGTGGTGCTGATGGGGGTGGCCCTGGGCGGCTCTGGTGTGGAGCAGGGCATCCCAGGTGGCAGGTTGAGGGCTCTGGACGCCTGTCCACACCCAGAGGGCGGCTGGGTCATCAGGGACCAGGCAGCAGCACTGGGCCCTCGCCCGACCCACTCACAGTGCAAGGCAGGCAGGGGCAGTGCCAGGTGCCACGAGAGGCGGGGCCTCGTCAGCACCCAGGGGCTCACTTACAGACCTTCCTTACAACAGGAGTCATTGAATAAAACACGGTCAGTGTGGTGAAACAAAGAGAAGCAAACCTCTCGTAGTCTCAGCGCTACGTGGGGAATGGCGTCACAGACTTCTGCTTGCATAACACATGCACATACGTGTGAGCGTATGTGCTACATGTATTGTGTGCATGTCGCCCCTCAACAGGTGCTCCACTGCGCCCTGGGCTGGGCGTCTTCACAGAGCTTCCACCCTAAGCACGGTTTCCCACCTCCGTCCAGTCGCAGCTCCCTCAGCAGGGCTCCGTCCCGAGGGTTTCCTAGCACAGCCCGTGGCGGCCCGGCAGGTGGGGCTGTCGTGGACCGGTACAGCCTCTCCACCCCTCCAAGTCTGACTCCTTCCCTCTGTCCTCCCTCCCACCAACACTTGATGAGCACCCTCTGGGTGCTCCACACTGCCTTGCTCCAGGCCCTGCCCTCAGCACTCCCGATCCCCGTTCTGTCCCAGGAAGGGCGGGCAGCATCAGCACGCAGGCCCTGCTGGGTCCCAGGTTCCCAAGTTCTGCCACAGAAAGCAGGACAGGGTGGTGTGGAAGCATCAGAGGTGGGTCAGCGGAGGCGCTCGCAGGTGACAGGGGACAGTGGCTGACTGGCACTTGCTGGGTACCAGGCTCTACACTGGATGCTTTACTTTTCAGGGACACCTGTGGCTGGCAAAGAACAAGCTCTGAGCTGTGGAATCGTGTGCCCAGTTTACCAGCTGGGATGAGATGCTCACCCTGGGAGTGGGGCGGGGGGCAGGTACGGGGAGCTTCGATCCAGAGGGAGAAGTGTGAGAGATGCTTAAAGCACCCAGGCTGTGGAGGCAGGTGGGCCCCAGGGAGCACAGGCACTCAGAGTCTGCTTCAGAGCAGACTGGGACCAGCGAGCGAAGAGGCCAGCGGAGAGGATGTGGACGGGTGGGGAGATGAGACCAGCCCTAGCTCTCAGGGCCTGTCGGCCTTAAGTCCTTCCTGCTGTGGGGGGATAGAGATGTTAGTGGTGTGAATGCTGAGCGTGGCGGAATGGGGAGGCTGCAGTGGGTGGCCGGGCAGGGACAGAGTTTGGGGGAAGAGGCGAGGGGTGGGGGTGGGGTGCACTGGGGTCACCTGGCACCCTGGGCTCCCAGTTGCAGGGAGAACCTGAGCTGCTCTGGAAGAAGGACCCTGGCCTTGCTGCCCACAGCTTGTTGGGGGACCCCTGGGAAGAGCTTACAGGTGTCCTGGGTGATCAACCAGGCAGGGGTGGGAACATGAAAGACAGCCTGGGACAGGGAGCCTCTGGGCCCCTCGGTGATTCCCCGCACTCTGGATGCCCTGGCCTGTCCCACCTTCCACACCTAGTCACCCCTTCCCCTCCCAGCCTCCGCTCCCAGAACTCAGCCTGCCCTGCCTGAGCCTCCCTCCACTTCACCCACCAGGAAGGAAGCCACCCTGCCCCCAGAGAGCTGAGGCCCCAGGCTCTTGTCCACCCTGAGGTGCTCCCAGCTCCTCCACCTCTCTGCTTCTCGACTGTCTGCTCACCCCCAGGGCTGGCCAGCCTCCTGCTGGTGAATGTCCTGCCCTGGGAGAGAGCAGAGGTAACCCAGTTCCTGGGGGAGGTAGTGGGGGGGCAGCCAGTCACCCTGGCCTGGAGGGAGGGGCTGAGCCCTCTGGAGGCTGTAGCACCTGCTGGCGCAGCCTGGCAGCTGTGGGAGAGGGCACAGGGCAGCGTCGGAGCAGGGCCGCCGTGCGGAGCCCTCACCACCACCAGGTGGAGAGACCAAGGCTCGGGGAAGGTCAGGTCGCCGGGTCCTGGGCAGGCAGGGGTGGCAAGGCCTGGGTTTGCTCCCCACAGTGTGAAGACCCTCTCGTGGTGCATTGCTGGGTGGTCTTTCCCTGAGCACCTGCTTCAGCAAACGGGCCGCAGGGTGCAGGGGCACCGCGGTGTGTAGGGGCCCAGGTTGTGGTTTGGGCACTAACTCCGTGGAGCTTTACAGAGGGGAGGGGGCTTGAGTCACTTTCCCCAGGCAGCTTTCTGCTTTCTAGAAGGCTCCCTTTCCCACAGTGGGAGGAGGCTTATGCTGTTCTCTGTGTTGGCAGGTGAAGGGTGGATGCCCGAGGCAGGGGGACCACAGGGAGCGCCTGTGGCAGCGACACTGGCAGCAAGCCCTCCAGCCACACTTAGCAGCATCGCCACAGCAACTGGGGACCAGACGGCAGCAGCCTAGGCAGAGGCAAGTGGGCAGAGGCGAGTGGACTGCTTCCCACCATCAGGAGGACAGGAAATGACTGCCGCGCATCAGGCCGGGTGGCATCCCGGGGAGGGGGAGTGTCACTAGAGGGAGGGCTCAGCCACCTCCCACAGCGGTAGCGCCATGCCAGCCGAGAAAGAGGCGCTGGGGCAGGGGCTGCCGTGGGACCTGGCCTCGCCCCGCCATCCGCACTGAGCACTCAAGGGCTCCGTCGTCTGCTGGGCACGCCACCTGCGTCTCAGCATCCCGTTCTCGTGGGGCAGGAGGAGAGGCGCCAGTCCCGTGCTCCTGTCTGGTCCCGCCGCTGCCAGACCATGGGATGTCGGCAAAGCTCAGAGGAGAAAGAGGCGGCACGTCGGTCCCGGCGAATCGACCGCCACCTGCGCTCAGAGAGCCAGCGGCAGCGCCGTGAGATCAAGCTGCTCCTGCTGGGCACCAGCAACTCGGGCAAGAGCACCATCGTGAAGCAGATGAAGATCATCCACAGCGGGGGCTTCAACCTGGAGGCCTGCAAGGAGTACAAGCCGCTCATCATCTACAACGCCATCGACTCGCTGACCCGCATCATCCGCGCCCTGGCCGCTCTGAAGATCGACTTCCACAACCCGGATCGCGCCTACGACGCTGTGCAGCTCTTCGCGCTGACGGGCCCGGCCGAGAGCAAGGGCGAGATCACCCCTGAGCTGCTGGGCGTCATGCGGCGGCTCTGGGCTGACCCTGGGGCGCAGGCCTGCTTCGGCCGCTCCAGCGAGTACCACCTGGAGGACAATGCGGCCTACTACCTGAATGACCTGGAGCGCATCGCTGCGCCCGACTACATCCCCACTGTGGAGGACATCCTGCGCTCCCGGGACATGACCACTGGCATCGTGGAGAACAAGTTCACCTTCAAGGAGCTCACCTTCAAGATGGTGGATGTGGGTGGGCAGAGGTCGGAGCGCAAAAAGTGGATCCACTGCTTCGAGGGTGTCACAGCCATCATCTTCTGCGTGGAGCTTAGTGGCTATGACCTGAAGCTCTATGAGGACAACCAGACGGTGAGTGGCCAGGCTTTTCCTGTTTGTTCCTGCCACCTCTGGCGCCTGGGAAGCAGGTGGGCTTCTGGGTGTGTTGAAGGGTGGGGCAGGGAGGCTCCAGCGAGGTATGAGTCTGGCAGTAGAACGTGGAACTCAGCGGTTCCACGGGCTCCGCAGGACCTAGCGTCACACCTGCTGTCAGGACACCTGCCACAGGGGCAGCTCTCAGTGGCCACCCCAGCCTGGCGGGCTGCACTCTGACTTGGTGCCCTGACAGGCCTCTCGGTGCCAACCCCTCCGAGTGACCACCCCAGGACTCCACCACCGGTGCCGCCCCCTGGGCTGCGACTCCCCTCACCCAGCGCAGACAGCACTGCCCTCACAGCCCGCACAGGCCCTGGTGCCCAGCGATAGTAGCCAGTGCTTGGGGTGCAAAGGCCCCGCCTCTACTGGAGGGGTCCTCCTCCTTCTTGGCAACCAAGAGCATATTGCTCAGGGCCAAGAGGAGGGGCCCTCAGCCACCTGGGGGTTGAGGAAGATTTGCTGGGAAGGAAGATGGGGAGGCTGGGCACTGAGAGGGGCTTTGGCTGCAGGGGAGGCTGGGGAGCAGTCAGGTATGCTGGGTAATGCTGGAGGCTGGGAGTGAGGTTGGAGGCTCCGCAGGACAACAGAGGATGAGGCCCGGGCCAGGCATCCAGTTGTTGGCCTGGGTGGCAGCTCAGTAAATGCACTCGGCACCTCCCAGTCTGGGCACCGCGCTGGGTCCCAGATCGGCAGCTCTGGCCCCACCGCCCCATGCAGATCCTCACAGTCTGGTATCAGCAGTGCTAAGAACTGTGTCTGAGGTTTAAGCCTCAGGGGTTGGGCACATATGGGGTCCTTTCAGGCCCCCAGCTCAGGCTGAAAACCATAGTATGTGGAGGGCCCCACAGGTGTGTACAGCGCGCACAGGTGTGTACAGCACGCACAGGTGCCAGAGGCAACCCAACCCCAGTGCTGAGCCAGTGGGGGCTTGAGGGGAGCTGCTGAGCAGGGGGACAGCCAGGTTGCTGGTAGGGACAAGGAACAGCATGGCACAGCCCAGCCAAACAGAAGGCCCGGCGCACAAGGCACCACAGCTCCCCGGCTCCCAGGACTGGCGGTGGTAGATAGAGGCCACGCAGCCAGACGGGGGATAGGCATGGCCAAGGTCTCCCACCACCCCTCCCTGCAGCGGTCTGTGCCAGGCAGGAACACTGAGCAGAGACTCAGAATGTGCCCTCAGGAGGCCTTTGATCCTGGGTGGAGGGCCTGGAGACAAACTGGGTCTAAAAGGAGCTGTAGGCAGAGTGGGGCTGTGGCTGCCAGGGATTTGGGGTGGCAGCAGCTGGCGGGAACCTGGGGGAGGGTGGTGATGCTCCTGGGGGACCCACCACCCTGGAAAATTCTACTCCCGGCCTTTAGGATCCAGGGGACCGGGGCAGTGGCAAGGAAGGAGCCTGCTTCTTCATCCAGTCTTCTTAATACAGATGGTAGCTTTATTTGGGGCTTCAGCTGGGGAATCCTGATTGGGTCCATAGCCTCCAGGAAGTCTGTGGACGGCTGCAGGCTGCGGCCTCTGTGCTGGGCACCTGAGCATTCTCCTGGAGAGAGGGTCTGCTGCTTCCATAAAGTTCACGTGGAGACCCCGCTGTTGGAGAAGGGGAAGCAGCTGCAGGCAGCCATGGAGACAGGAGGCAGGGCCCTCCTCATGTCCCCTTTCTGCATCTGGGGCTCTCCACAGAGCTGTGTCCGGGCAGTGACAGTGCCTCTGGTGGGAGTGGCCTGAGCTGAGGACACTGCCCACAAGGACAGGCCCGAATCGCTCCCAGCACTGTGTGACTTGAGGCTCCAGCCACCCTTCATCTTCCGCCTGCCCTGACGTCAGCCCATGTGTCGCTGCCAGCAGGGGGCATCCCAGCGGACCAGCAAGGCCAGGCTCCTTGATGGGGCCCTGCTGTGGGTGGAGGGCTTGGAGCTGATGGGCCCGTGAGGCAGTGAGGCGAGGCAAGGTGCCCAGCCTGAGCCTGTCGGTGCCAGCACAGGTCTGCCAACCACACGGACTCCTTGAGTTGGCTCTCAAGGCTTCTGCCCTTTTCTGTTTGTCCTGAGGCTAGTGGTGGCCTGCGCTCTGAGCCCTTCCAGGACTCTGGCTCCTGGGCTGTCTCCTCTGTCATCTCTGAGGCTGGTGGGGCAAATCCCTCGGCGCTGGGCTTGTCACGCAGACTATCCACTGGCACGCTCAGCCCGCCACACTTGTGCCCACAGGTGTGCCAGGATGCAGGCCCTGAGTTGTGTGCGGGCCCTGAGTTGGTCCCAGGTTTCATGGAGGAATTTGGCTTTCATCTCTGCTCTCTGAAGCTGTCAACCAGGAAGTGGCCCAAGTGTCCTCAAACAGGCCCAGGGCCAGGCCTTCTCCTGCCCGAGGCCCTCTTGGCTCCAGCCAGCCCATCCCCACCTCCTGGCTGCCTCTTCCTCTCTCCAGTCTGGCCTTCGTGGGCTTCATTCACTCCTGTGTGCCCTGCTCTCTCTGGCCTTAAGCACGTGACCGCCCTGCCCATCCTCCCCCTGCCCACCTGTCCCTGCCTTTCAGGTCTCATCTCAAGTGTCACCTCCTTGAGAGGCCTTCCCTGACCTCAGCTTGGCGCCTGCAAGCCCCTCCATTGCAGTCACTTATTACTGGGTGGGTCCCGCTCACGTGGGCACGAGCGGCTGCACAGCCAGGCTGGGTGGAAGCCCGGGTGCACAGGCGGCCCACAGGGGCCTCGTCCCCCCAACCTTCTCCCTGCGGGACACCACAGTGGGAAACCCTGGGTGAGGACAGTGGCTGCCGGTTTGGCTGCCCGTGGGGTTCACCGTGAAGCCAAGCAGCCTCCTGGAGGCAGCCAGGCCCTGGGGCCCTTCCGGGCACTTTCTAAAGGGAGGGGCTGGCAGCCAGGCCTGTGCCCCGCCTCCTGCTACCACCCTGGTCTCGGCAGGCCTGGGGAGGTGGCTATTCACCAGAAAAGGAAATTCTTGATGAGAAACTCAAGCAAGCGAGGCTGGAAATTCACTGGATTCCAAATGGTTCTGACCTTTCATGCTCTACCAGCAATATCTCAGGATGGAAAACAAACAGGCTGCTGAGGAAAGACAATACCCCCCAAGATTTCTCCTGCCGCCGGCTGTCCGTCCACTGAGGTGGGCCAGCCGCCCAGGAGATCGCCGGGCCAGGCAGCAAGGAGAGCCTGCCTCTCCCAGTGCCTGCAAGCAGCTCCTGTCACGGCCGCTGGCACGCCTCTCCTGTGCCCTGCCCTCCTCCCGCCTGCTGCCATAGGCCTGGGACAGGGCCACCACCCCTGCCTCCTCCTTTCAGGGCCCCTGAACTGTTCTCCCGGGCTCCAGCAAAGGTGCGGCAGCCAAGAACAGGGCATGCTGAGTTTTGCAGAAACCAAAGGAGGCTGGGGGCCCATTGCCAGGCTCTGGATGCAGAGCTCAGGGCTCCTCAGCCCCCTACTCTGCTCCGAGGCCTTGTCTTCCCCTGAGGGCGGGCTGGCAGAGCCCCCGCCCCCACGCCTGGCGGAGGAGCCACAGCCCCCTACCCACCCGCTGGCATTTGCGTCAGCACGTTGCCACGGGTAACGTCAGGATCTCTGGGTTCCTGGGCACAGAGGGCTGCAGCGAGTGCAGGGCAGCACCTGGGCAGGAGGAGGCAGATTCCAGGCATTCACGGAGCTCAGCAATGAGCCGTGCCCAGCCTTGATAACGGACAGCCCCCTCTTCTTCCAGAAGGGTTCCGTGGGTGCTCATCCCCCCACGCAGTCCGCCAGGCACCCACAGGCTCCAGACCTGGCGTGTCCTCAGTGTCCTTAACCAGCTGTCTTTGTGGGTGTCTTTGGTAGGCCTCTACTGCTCCTACGGGGACCCCCTTTGACAATGTGTGGGGCCAGAACATGGCCCAGAGAGACATCACCTGACTGTGTGTGGCAACAGCTGTACCTACTGTCCTTGTCACGGGTAGGGGGACAGATGGGAGTACCCAGGCTTAGGACAGGTTATAGGCCCAGGCCTGTAGCTTGTGGCAGCTGTGGACCCTCCCTGCTCCACATCTGCCAGGAGAAAGCCAGGCCCGCCTGCCCCAGCACGCCCTCGCCCTCCGCCACAGCACCACTCCCGGGTGGCTCCGCCTTCCTTCTCTGCCCGCCCCAGGGCCCCTCCCAGGAGTGAAGAGAGGCAAGTTTTAAATCCACAGGCTCAGCCTGGCCCCACTCAGGTGCAGAGACCACCCGCTGACCACCCACCTCACCGGGACAGCCCTTGGAGGCCACGTGCCTGAGGGTCTGCCACAGGCTCTGAACTTAGCCTGTCCTGTTGCAGGGCTCTGCCCCTTCCTCTTTCGTGCCCTGCCAGGGGGTCCCAGCACCCTGCTGGGAATCTCAGGAAAGCAGGAAAAGGGGGGGTTGCTTGCTGCCCAGGCTCGGCCCCTGCAGATCTGCTGATGGACTATGTGGTCACTTAACAGTGAAGGGAACCTTCAGAAGAGACAGATTAAAAGGCCTGGCTGCAAAGAGTCCAAGTGTCCCCATGTGAAAACCCGCAGGAGCTCCCTCGCCGCCCGTTTCCTGGAGAAGCCGTTGTGTTCCCGGCCTGTGCCGGGCCTGGTGTGCGCCTGCTGTGCGCCTGCTGTGTGCCTGCCTGGGGGCCAGGCGCCAGGGTGAGCCTGACTATCCCAGAGGCACAAGGGACCGGTAGGAGGGGACACTCACACCCCGCAGTCACAGTGTCATCTCTACAAACCCTGGTGCTGTCTGGGGACACCGCCCCCTCCTTTAGGACCCAGCAGGTAGCAGTTCCCAGGGGAATCTCCCCGCCTTGGCTCCTATGCAGGACCAGCTGGGGCTACAGGTGGTCTGGGCCACAGCAAGGCTTACTGTGGGAGGCCTGGTGTCCCCACTGCGTACCCCACAGATAGCTAGTTGACGTGAGTCAAGGAGGGTCCCTTGGGGGGTTGGTGGGACACAGAA